TGCAATTGTCTTAGGAGTGGAGATGAGTGTTTAAGTAGGATTCAAAAATCAATATAGACAATTCAAATGGCTTTTGATGCCATTTGGTCTTTCCACATTATGTAGACAAACTGATTTTCACAGAATCTAAGTACAATCGTTAATTCCTAAACATTTTGATACACGAGAAACTTTATGTGAAACTTCATGAATTTTCACAGAATTGAAGCACTCGTGTTAATTCCTAGACGTTTTGACACACAAGAAACTTTATGTGAAACTTTAAGAGTTTTCACAGAATTTAAGCGCACGTGTTAATTCCTAGACGTTCTGAGACACGAGAAACTTTATGTGAAAATTTAAGAAGTGTTCTCTCATGAGCAACAATATACTGTTCCCAGGTTTCGTTGTTTCAGGTGAAGGTTTCAAACGAGATCATGATTTGGTCAATGCTATGACTGAATTGGCTAGATGGAAGTCTATTTGCTAATATTCTTACATCCTATGGATTAGTTTCTTTTTAATGGAGGTTTATATGGAATTTTAGTGTAAAAATACGTTGTCACAAAGTGCTTGATAAGGGGTCGCTTTCATTGGGACTAAAGAAGTAGAGAAGGCTTTGCACGAAGTGGAACAAGTATTACAAAATTTCCAAATAGTGTTGCTAGATCTTCAAAAGATCTGTGGTAGAGTATGATACATCCCATTCCTATGTGGGCATTGGAGCTATTATAAATCAACTATGAAGACACGTGACTTTCTTTCGTGAAAGTTGAAAGTATTGTTACTCAACAAACAATCTAGAATATTGTACCCCAGTCCAAGCTCTTCACTATTGGTTTAACTATTTTTTGTTGGTATGCTTAATTTACTTAAAACATTATTGTGCATCATAGAGAATTCATGAAGAGCTATATGCTGTGATTTGTACAAGGAAAATGCTCATCAACATTTTAAATTCATGTATTTTGCTGAAGGTGATCAAGTTATGGGACATTAGGGAACGGAATGGTTTCCAAGCATCATTTATCTTAAACTCAAGTTAAGGAAGATTAGACCTTGCAAAATTTTAAAGAAAATTATTTCTAATGTTTATGTGGTGACTTTCTATATTAAATGGAGGGTTTATTCTAATCTTATCGGTTTGGTGAAGATGATAAGGATAGTGAATAGAATTGGATCAATGAATTGCTGAAGAAGCCAAAGAAATCTATGGGACATTAGGGAACGGAATGGTTTCCAAGCATCATTTATCTTAAACTCAAGTTAAGGAAGATTAGACCTTGCAAAATTTTAAAGAAAATTATTTCTAATGTTTATGTGGTGACTTTCTATATTAAATGGAGGGTTTATTCTAATCTTATCGGTTTGGTGAAGATGATAAGGATAGTGAATAGAATTGGATCAATGAATTGCTGAAGAAGCCAAAGAAATCATTGAAGAAATTCTGAATATAAAGGAGGTTCATTCTCTTCAAGAAATATCCACATTTTTTAATTAATAGTTTGACAAACCTTTTACGGGAAGTACTTGGATCTGAAAAGAAGAGCTAGAGCAATTTTTTTATCTTATAATCTAAAAGAAATATATCCAAGTGTAATTGTTGCAGTGGAGTCATCTTCCCTCAAAAGGAACTGAAATATTTCTTTGTTCTTCTATTATTTTGTTGTCAATACTTTTCTGGAACTAATTTTTATCTTCAATAAAAAGATACTTATACCACTGCTTAGAGACAAAAATATGAATGTTTGATCCGTTACTCAAGTAAGCTTGCACATGCAATACCAATATAGTTCTTCAATGGAAAGAAATTAAGAATGTTTTAGATTATCCTTGTGATGAACAATTGGAGGAGCGTAGTAGGATCCAAAGACTACGTACTCAATGTATTTTAAAAGTCTAATGCTTTTAAATTTATTGGTACAATAGAAATTAGAGCTTTGGATGTCAGAAAGTAATTAATTCTACTTTAGCCCTGTGAGCTACTATTTTCTGCTCTCGGACAGAAGTAATATATTATTGCTAACGCACTAGGAGTGCAGGACTAGAACCGTGTATAACTACTACCAGGGGGATAAATTGTAGAATAAGAGTTTGACAATTGAGCGGAAAATCTGTACTATTGATGTTTTTTAGTTATACCATTCATAAAAACGTAAAAGAAATATATATCACTTTGTACAATGTTACTTCTGAAAATTTTCTACTATTACGTGCAGGAAATATATAACCTGTTTCATCTGTATTTTGTACCAATTGAAACTTGGGTAATTGTTAGGTGAACGAATTGCATTAAGGATCTGCGAGCTAATTCCTGAAAAATTTTAGAAATCTTTTAGAGTTAATGCATTTCTAAATCATTATAAGTTTGAACACCCGTGCATCGAAGTACCTTGATTCAGATAGGAAATAGTCGATGGCAAAGAAACATGAATGCATATGGAACGAAGATATGCTACATTGTGTACAACCATCGAAAGATTTGGACATATCCATTTAAAATGTGTTTATCACAACAGATTTATTTGTTACTTTACTAGGATCTTCTTCGTGTATTACTTCTTTCAAAAGAACCAGTTGATTTTTAGATTTGTACATGCTTTCCTTAAAAAGATTAGATAATTATGCCTTACCTTCGTGTTTTCTCACATTTGATGACCTGTGATCAGTGTTCGCCTGGTGTTAGGAAGTGTTCAATGATGTTGAAAACAAAAATTTTGATTCAATAAATTGAATAAATGTGTTTCATGTACATCTTTCATGCCCAAAATTTTCTTGTTATGCTTTCTTTCCTTTTACAGCAACAAATCAAGAAGAAGATCTTTCCCAGCCTGTTGAGGTGCCGAAGGATAAACTATTTGGTGGCCTTCTTCCTATGGGATTTGACAGAGAATCTTGTCTTAGTAGGTTTGAGTCACTCTTGTATCGCAGAGAACTACCCCAAAAGCCTTCGTCCTACCTCATATCCAAGTTACGAAGGTACGAAGCTCTTCACAAACGCTGTGGACCTTACACAGAACTGTACAATAAAACCTTAACACATCTCAAGTCTGGCCAATATACAAGCTCCTTCGATTGTAACTACATAGTTTGGATATCCTTTAGTGGTTTAGGGAACAGGATATTGACCTTAGCCTCGGCTTTTCTTTACGCTCTTCTCACAGATCGGGTCCTACTTGTTGATCGTGGAGTTGACATGCCCGACCTCTTCTGTGAACCATTTCCAGAGGTTTCCTGGTTACTTCCCCTGGATTTTCCTGTTACACACCAATTCAATAGCTTCAATCAGAAATCTGCAGAGAGTTATGGGAATATGCTCAAGAATAATTTGTTAGGTAATTTAAGTAGGTCAGCATTACCACCATATGTTTATCTCCATTTGGTTCACAACTATGATGATCATGATAAGCTTTTCTTCTGTCACCAAGATCAAACTTTTCTGCAGAAAATACCTTGGTTGATAATGAAGACTGACAATTATTTTGTACCCTCTCTATTCTTGATCCCGTCGTTTGAGCAAGAATTGAGTGACCTGTTCCCAGAAAAGGCAACTGTTTTCCACTTCTTGGGCAGGTACTTGTTCCATCCAACAAATTCTGTCTGGGGGCTCATCAGCAGATACTATCAAGCTTATTTAGCTAAAGCAGACGAAAAACTAGGCATCCAAATACGGGTTTTTGACACGGGAACTGGTCCTTTTCGACACGTGTTAGACCAGATTCTAACATGTACCACAAAAGAGAATTTGTTACCAGAGATCAATCGAAAGGAGCCAATTGTCACTTCATTAGGAAAGCACAAGACAAAAGCTGTACTATTGACATCTTTAAGCTCTGGCTACTCGGAGGAAATAAGAAACATGTATTGGGAATATCCTACTGTAACAGGAGAGGTAATTTCTGTTTACCAGCCGAGTCATGAAGAGTATCAACAAACAGAGAAACAAACGCACAACAGAAAGGCATGGGCAGAGATGTACTTACTTAGCTTGATGGATAAATTGGTAACAAGCTCTTGGTCGACCTTTGGTTATGTGGCTCAGGGTCTTGGAGGTCTGAAGCCATGGATACTTCACAAGCCTGAAAATCGAACAGCCCCTAATCCACCCTGTCGACAAGCCATGTCAATGGAACCGTGCTTCCATGCTCCTCCTTTCTACGATTGCAAGAGGAAAACAGGAGTTGATACCGGACTTCTGGTTCCCCATGTAAGGCATTGCGAGGACATGAGTTGGGGTCTGAAGGTGGTTGAACGTGATAGTGAATTGTAACCATTCATGCTTTACACCCGTCAAGATTATAATGTTTAAAGATATTCAGACAAGAAAACGGTTCAGTTTTCGATTATGTATGTATTGTTATTTTGGCGTGATCTTGTGATGAGTATGATTGCTTGCTAATTAAGGATTTTAGACAATTGAGTATACATGCAAGAAAGTCAATATTATTCCTTTGGCTCCTTGTTTAGTGTAGCTGAAAATTCGATTCTTTGCACATTTGATTAAAGTTGATAAAATGTGTGATTGATTGGATGATAAGAGTTGTGAATTTTTTATGTGTGGTTAAAATTATTTATTGACTTTGACTTATACTTCCATTAAAATTTTAAAGGCTTTTTTTTAATAAAATTTTAGCTCAATGAAGAGGACGAGGAAATAGTCTGTTATTACTTTTATATGAACCAACAAATTTGGTTTCGACAACAAACTTTTATGCATGTTTATGGAACATAATATCCCCGCCTATCGAACAAGATCCAGATTTCTTCAACACCACCTATTCTCGCTGTTACAGAATCACTGCAAAACCAGTAAACAGCTCTACCAAATCCACGCACACATTGTCATCAATGGCTTTACCCAAAAAAACTATATTCTTGCAAAGCTATTATCTCTGTACACAGCCTTCAATAATTTCCCACGTGCCTTCCAAGTATTCAACCAAGTTGAAAACCCGAGTACTTATCTTTATAACCAAATTATCAGAGTCCATTCGTGGAAAGCAATTGAATTATTTAAGCAGATGGAGAATTCTTTATCCTTGCCTGATGGTCACACGTATACGTATGTTATTAATGGCTGTGCGAAAGGGATGTTGTTAAGAGAGGGTGAAGAGGTTCATGGGAAAGTTTTGAAAAATGGGTTTTGTTCAAACGTGTTTGTTTGTACTAATTTGGTTGATTTTTATATCAAAAGTGGAGGGGAGGATGGCCTAAGGAATGCTAGGTTAGTGTTTGATGAAATGCATGACAGAAATGTTGTCACGTGGAATTCTTGGCTTTCGGGTTGTTTTAGGTATGGAGATGTCAATGCAGCACTAGAAGTGTTTGAGGCGATGCCAGAGAGGAATGTAGTTTCTTGGACTACAATGATTGCTGGATGTGCGCGTTGCGGAAGGTGTAAGCAAGCTTTGGCGTTGTTTCTTGAGATGCAGAGAGATGAAATGAAGTTCGATCAGGTGACTTTGTTGGCAGTGCTGTCAGCATGTGCCGAGTTGGGTGATCTGAATCTGGGCAAGTGGATACATTTATATGTTATTGAGTCTTTAAGTCAAAGAGAGCAGCCGGTGCTGGTGTCACTGAACAATGCACTGATACATATGTATGCTAGCTGTGGTGAAATTGGGGCAGCATTTGGCGTGTTTAAAACAATGGAGCAGAGGACTACTGTTTCTTGGACAAGTATGATCACAGGTTTTGCAAAGCAGGGGTATGGAGATGAGGCACTTAGTGTCTTCCGGTGGATGGAAAGTATAGGAGACAATGACATAAGACCTGATGAAATAACATTCTTGGGTCTTTTATGTGCCTGCAGCCATGCTGGTTATGTCAATGAGGGGCGTCATTACTTTAAGAGCATGACTGAAACTTGGGGAATCGAGCCAAGGATAGAGCATTATGGATGCATGATAGATCTCTTGAGTCGTGCTGGGTTATTGGATGAAGCGGAAGGGCTTGTGAAATCTATGCCAATGAAGCCAAATGATGCAGTGTGGGGTGCCCTTCTTGGTGGATGCAGCATTTACAAAAATGTTGAGCTTGCTTCTGATGTAGCTCAGATATTGACCATGGAAGTTGACCCTGAACGAGCTGTTGGCTACTTTGTGCTGTTATCCAATGTGTATGCCACTGAAAAGAGGTGGCAAGATGTGATTACTGTGAGGAGGAAGATGGTTGAAATGAAAACAAAGAAGCCTCCAGGTCGAAGTTGGATTCAGATAGCTGGAATCATTCATGAATTTATGGTCGATGAAAGGTCTCAAAAGCATGCATCATTCATCTATGAGGTGCTCGGTAATATCACAACAGAAGCAAAGTTGCAGGGCTGCATGCCAGAAACTGTTGATGCTCTCCTGTGCATTGAAGATTAGGATGGCAAGAGGTAGCAGGATATGTGCTGGTCGTTAGATTGTGATTACCATTATGCAGAGCTTCTATCTGCTGACATCTTGCCTAGTATGGCAACCAAATGTCCTAAGCATGTCCTTACTCTTACTCTCTAGTCACATCTCTGGCACTAATTTTACCAGTTATCAGTTTTCTAATTCTCTTAATGGGGTTGAATATATAGAGGATGTAAATGTATTTGTTGGAATCTAATCTACAATCTTTATGCTTGTAGTTGAAATGTTCTTGGCTGCCTTTCTGGAACTACTACTTGACTACACCAATACTTCACACGGATAATTATATTACCCTCTGAGTCTATATCATGTCCTTCATTATGAACTTTACATATGCTTCTAGAGCTATTCGATTACGGTGTTTTCCTTTTTGGATAGTGCATGAAACACCACTTTTGGAAGGTGTCAAGGGACAAGGGCCACTAAGCCCCTTCACCATACACAGCCATATATAGTCATTTTCACAATTGCAAGTAGGCCAAAAACTATTTGTTTATTCTATTTGGATGACAAGTTCTTACAAGTAGAATACAATCATTGATCTTAATAATTGAACTACGTTGGAATAACTTATTATGCAATAAATTTGTCGAGGTTGAATGATTGGATCGTAACATAAGGCACCGTTTGATTGGCAAAACATTTCCATGGAAAATGTTTGGATGGCATTTTCCAACTTTGGTGTGTTTTATAAGGGTTTATTTTCCATGGAATAGAAATTCTTGAATTTCTTGGGAACTGCACATTTTTTGCTTTTGTGGGATATGGTGGGAATTGATTTTCCCGATTAGTGTTGACGTTTTTTCCTTCTTCTTCTTTTTTCTCTCTCTCTCTCTCATTTTTTTTTTTGACAATGGAAATAAATTTTAAGAATTATTGTAAAAAAATATTTATCACTTCACTACACCCCCTTCCCTTCATCTCTCCATCAGAGATAGCCATCGACTCCGGCATTCACTCTGAAAATCGCTCTGGCAGCAGCTCCAGCGACTGGTTTGGCAACCGTTCCGAAAAATTGCTGCGGTGAACACTCGGTGACTGCTCCAGCGACTATTCCACCAATTGTTTCGGCTTCGATGATAGAAAAATCTCCAAAAATTGTGATGGTCGTAGTGATGCATTATAGTTATCAGATTTGCAACCGTGTTATCTGTGATCATACCTATGTTATATGTGACCAATTCACTGACTTATGTTATCTGAGAATCACCGCGACCAACTTTGCCTTCGGCGTGACTAATTGTGACCAAATTTGTATTTAATGTAACTGTCTGTGACCAGATCAATCTCTAGTCACAACCGATCACAATCAATACAAAATTGATCACAAACAGTCACAACCAGATCTTGAACAGAAAAACCATATCTCCAACCACTACAACAAATTTGTTCGAAAAAATAATAACCACAAGTACTACTAACATCTTTAACTCAAATTGATAACCATAAATACTACATTCACATCAAATCCACAACAATCATCACTACCATAACTTCCACCAACCCTTGAAAAAACACAAACCAGCACCACCAGACTTCTCTCGTGAAACTCCGATGAGAGAAGTGGTAGGTGGTTGGAATCAAGATCGTGGGTGGGGAAGAAGTCATAGATCTGATTTTTAGGTAAGAGAGCGCCAAACATATTTGACCCATTTATCTTGAGCCTAACCCAGCTATGGTTGGCCCAACAAAAGTCCACAATTGGAAATTAAGTCTCCGTTAGGCCCTCATTTTCTGAAAATGAAAATAGAGGGAATAATATTTTTTTTGAAAAATTAGTGATTGAAAAAAAAAAGTTTTCGATTTATGTATAATATTATTTTAAGAAAGATTGTGTGGTTAAAAATAAAAGAGTGAAAAATGAAATATAATGTAATTGAATTTAATTGGGGCAATACGGCTACAGGATCTGACCCATAAACAAATAGGGAAAAAATAATTTAAAAATAGCTTTTTTTGGTTTCACCGACATCACGAATTACAAACAGTGACTGCATGACATCCATCACAGTTTTCCTGTCGTTCCTTAAATAATTTGTTTAAACCCTTCCAAATCCCAGATTTAACCGACTGTTGTGCCACTGAACTTAAATTTTACAATTATTACACAAAATAATGCAAAACCGTTTGCTCAGATAGCATTTAAAGGGAGAAGCAAAACGGCCCAGATGACCCTTTTTCCATAAAAATGAGGAGGTTCAAGAGTAGTAGTTCCAAAGATCAACGGGTGCCAACCCCGGATTTCACAGAAAACACTGTTTCTAATGGCCTAGAGTGGGAAAGCGGGTTGAATCCTATGAAATTTATGGGGATTTTTGTGGTTTGCTTGATGGGGTTGTCTGTATTGTTTTCATTATCTGCAATTCTTCAGAATCCACCTTCGGAGTCACTCTGGACTGTTGCTGAAGCCAGGCCTCTTGATGTTTTACCTCAAAAAGGTACCTCATTTTCTTTTTTCTTTGGTCTAATTATTTTCTATGGGCTTTATTTTGACATTTCTAGTCTGTATTTCTGCTTCTTGAGAGTTGATTAAGAACTAATGTTTTATTATTATAGCTGTTTATTTCACTAGATGAATAACTGAATTGTTGTTTTTTGAACTATTTTTATGAGACATCTCTATTTATGACAAGTTAAGGTAAAGTAGCAAATACATTGTTGATGAGATAATGTCTGCAAGTTGGAAAACTAACAGCTTAAATGTTGACTGGATTTCCAATTCTGAGGCTGGATGAGGTACTAGATCATTTAGTTGGCTCGACATTATTTGCTAAATTGTCTTAGGAACTGGCCATCCCTGAAGTCTGCAATTGTCTTAGGAGTGGAGATGAGTGTTTAAGTAGGATTCAAAAATCAATATAGACAATTCAAATGGCTTTTGATGCCATTTGGTCTTTCCACATTATGTAGACAAACTGATTTTCACAGAATCTAAGTACAATCGTTAATTCCTAAACATTTTGATACACGAGAAACTTTATGTGAAACTTCATGAATTTTCACAGAATTGAAGCACTCGTGTTAATTCCTAGACGTTTTGACACACAAGAAACTTTATGTGAAACTTTAAGAGTTTTCACAGAATTTAAGCGCACGTGTTAATTCCTAGACGTTCTGAGACACGAGAAACTTTATGTGAAAATTTAAGAAGTGTTCTCTCATGAGCAACAATATACTGTTCCCAGGTTTCGTTGTTTCAGGTGAAGGTTTCAAACGAGATCATGATTTGGTCAATGCTATGACTGAATTGGCTAGATGGAAGTCTATTTGCTAATATTCTTACATCCTATGGATTAGTTTCTTTTTAATGGAGGTTTATATGGAATTTTAGTGTAAAAATACGTTGTCACAAAGTGCTTGATAAGGGGTCGCTTTCATTGGGACTAAAGAAGTAGAGAAGGCTTTGCACGAAGTGGAACAAGTATTACAAAATTTCCAAATAGTGTTGCTAGATCTTCAAAAGATCTGTGGTAGAGTATGATACATCCCATTCCTATGTGGGCATTGGAGCTATTATAAATCAACTATGAAGACACGTGACTTTCTTTCGTGAAAGTTGAAAGTATTGTTACTCAACAAACAATCTAGAATATTGTGCCCCAGTCCAAGCTCTTCACTATTGGTTTAACTATTTTTTGTTGGTATGCTTAATTTACTTAAAACATTATTGTGCATCATAGAGAATTCATGAAGAGCTATATGCTGTGATTTGTACAAGGAAAATGCTCATCAACATTTTAAATTCATGTATTTTGCTGAAGGTGATCAAGTTATGGGACATTAGGGAACGGAATGGTTTCCAAGCATCATTTATCTTAAACTCAAGTTAAGGAAGATTAGACCTTGCAAAATTTTAAAGAAAATTATTTCTAATGTTTATGTGGTGACTTTCTATATTAAATGGAGGGTTTATTCTAATCTTATCGGTTTGGTGAAGATGATAAGGATAGTGAATAGAATTGGATCAATGAATTGCTGAAGAAGCCAAAGAAATCATTGAAGAAATTCTGAATATAAAGGAGGTTCATTCTCTTCAAGAAATATCCACATTTTTTAATTAATAGTTTGACAAACCTTTTACGGGAAGTACTTGGATCTGAAAAGAAGAGCTAGAGCAATTTTTTTATCTTATAATCTAAAAGAAATATATCCAAGTGTAATTGTTGCAGTGGAGTCATCTTCCCTCAAAAGGAACTGAAATATTTCTTTGTTCTTCTATTATTTTGTTGTCAATACTTTTCTGGAATTAATTTTTATCTTCAATAAAAAGATACTTATACCACTGCTTAGAGACAAAAATATGAATGTTTGATCCGTTACTCAAGTAAGCTTGCACATGCAATACCAATATAGTTCTTCAATGGAAAGAAATTAAGAATGTTTTAGATTATCCTTGTGATGAACAATTGGAGGAGCGTAGTAGGATCCAAAGACTACGTACTCAATGTATTTTAAAAGTCTAATGCTTTTAAATTTATTGGTACAATAGAAATTAGAGCTTTGGATGTCAGAAAGTAATTAATTCTACTTTAGCCCTGTGAGCTACTATTTTCTGCTCTCGGACAGAAGTAATATATTATTGCTAACGCACTAGGAGTGCAGGACTAGAACCGTGTATAACTACTACCAGGGGGATAAATTGTAGAATAAGAGTTTGACAATTGAGCGGAAAATCTGTACTATTGATGTTTTTTAGTTATACCATTCATAAAAACGTAAAAGAAATATATTTCACTTTGTACAATGTTACTTCTGAAAATTTTCTACTATTACGTGCAGGAAATATATAACCTGTTTCATCTGTATTTTGTACCAATTGAAACTTGGGTAATTGTTAGGTGAACGAATTGCATTAAGGATCTGCGAGCTAATTCCTGAAAAATTTTAGAAATCTTTTAGAGTTAATGCATTTCTAAATCATTATAAGTTTGAACACCCGTGCATCGAAGTACCTTGATTCAGATAGGAAATAGTCGATGGCAAAGAAACATGAATGCATATGGAACGAAGATATGCTACATTGTGTACAACCATCGAAAGATTTGGACATATCCATTTAAAATGTGTTTATCACAACAGATTTATTTGTTACTTTACTAGGATCTTCTTCGTGTATTACTTCTTTCAAAAGAACCAGTTGATTTTTAGATTTGTACATGCTTTCCTTAAAAAGATTAGATAATTATGCCTTACCTTCGTGTTTTCTCACATTTGATGACCTGTGATCAGTGTTCGCCTGGTGTTAGGAAGTGTTCAATGATGTTGAAAACAAAAATTTTGATTCAATAAATTGAATAAATGTGTTTCATGTACATCTTTCATGCCCAAAATTTTCTTGTTATGCTTTCTTTCCTTTTACAGCAACAAATCAAGAAGAAGATCTTTCCCAGCCTGTTGAGGTGCCGAAGGATAAACTATTTGGTGGCCTTCTTCCTATGGGATTTGACAGAGAATCTTGTCTTAGTAGGTTTGAGTCACTCTTGTATCGCAGAGAACTACCCCAAAAGCCTTCGTCCTACCTCATATCCAAGTTACGAAGGTACGAAGCTCTTCACAAACGCTGTGGACCTTACACAGAACTGTACAATAAAACCTTAACACATCTCAAGTCTGGCCAATATACAAGCTCCTTCGATTGTAACTACATAGTTTGGATATCCTTTAGTGGTTTAGGGAACAGGATATTGACCTTAGCCTCGGCTTTTCTTTACGCTCTTCTCACAGATCGGGTCCTACTTGTTGATCGTGGAGTTGACATGCCCGACCTCTTCTGTGAACCATTTCCAGAGGTTTCCTGGTTACTTCCCCTGGATTTTCCTGTTACACACCAATTCAATAGCTTCAATCAGAAATCTGCAGAGAGTTATGGGAATATGCTCAAGAATAATTTGTTAGGTAATTTAAGTAGGTCAGCATTACCACCATATGTTTATCTCCATTTGGTTCACAACTATGATGATCATGATAAGCTTTTCTTCTGTCACCAAGATCAAACTTTTCTGCAGAAAATACCTTGGTTGATAATGAAGACTGACAATTATTTTGTACCCTCTCTATTCTTGATCCCGTCGTTTGAGCAAGAATTGAGTGACCTGTTCCCAGAAAAGGCAACTGTTTTCCACTTCTTGGGCAGGTACTTGTTCCATCCAACAAATTCTGTCTGGGGGCTCATCAGCAGATACTATCAAGCTTATTTAGCTAAAGCAGACGAAAAACTAGGCATCCAAATACGGGTTTTTGACACGGGAACTGGTCCTTTTCGACACGTGTTAGACCAGATTCTAACATGTACCACAAAAGAGAATTTGTTACCAGAGATCAATCGAAAGGAGCCAATTGTCACTTCATTAGGAAAGCACAAGACAAAAGCTGTACTATTGACATCTTTAAGCTCTGGCTACTCGGAGGAAATAAGAAACATGTATTGGGAATATCCTACTGTAACAGGAGAGGTAATTTCTGTTTACCAGCCGAGTCATGAAGAGTATCAACAAACAGAGAAACAAACGCACAACAGAAAGGCATGGGCAGAGATGTACTTACTTAGCTTGATGGATAAATTGGTAACAAGCTCTTGGTCGACCTTTGGTTATGTGGCTCAGGGTCTTGGAGGTCTGAAGCCATGGATACTTCACAAGCCTGAAAATCGAACAGCCCCTAATCCACCCTGTCGACAAGCCATGTCAATGGAACCGTGCTTCCATGCTCCTCCTTTCTACGATTGCAAGAGGAAAACAGGAGTTGATACCGGACTTCTGGTTCCCCATGTAAGGCATTGCGAGGACATGAGTTGGGGTCTGAAGGTGGTTGAACGTGATAGGGAATTGTAACCATTCATGCTTTACACCCGTCAAGATTATAATGTTTAAAGATATTCAGACAAGAAAACGGTTCAGTTTTCGATTATGTATGTATTGTTATTTTGGCGTGATCTTGTGATGAGTATGATTGCTTGCTAATTAAGGATTTTAGACAATTGAGTATACATGCAAGAAAGTCAATATTATTCCTTTGGCTCCTTGTTTAGTGTAGCTGAAAATTCGATTCTTTGCACATTTGATTAAAGTTGATAAAATGTGTGATTGATTGGATGATAAGAGTTGTGAATTTTTTATGTGTGGTTAAAATTATTTATTGACTTTGACTTATACTTCCATTAAAATTTTAAAGGCTTTTTTTTAATAAAATTTTAGCTCAATGAAGAGGACGAGGAAATAGTCTGTTATTACTTTTATATGAACCAACAAATTTGGTTTCGACAACAAACTTTTATGCATGTTTATGGAACATAATATCCCCGCCTATCGAACAAGATCCAGATTTCTTCAACACCACCTATTCTCGCTGTTACAGAATCACTGCAAAACCAGTAAACAGCTCTACCAAATCCACGCACACATTGTCATCAATGGCTTTACCCAAAAAAACTATATTCTTGCAAAGCTATTATCTCTGTACACAGCCTTCAATAATTTCCCACGTGCCTTCCAAGTATTCAACCAAGTTGAAAACCCGAGTACTTATCTTTATAACCAAATTATCAGAGTCCATTCGTGGAAAGCAATTGAATTATTTAAGCAGATGGAGAATTCTTTATCCTTGCCTGATGGTCACACGTATACGTATGTTATTAATGGCTGTGCGAAAGGGATGTTGTTAAGAGAGGGTGAAGAGGTTCATGGGAAAGTTTTGAAAAATGGGTTTTGTTCAAACGTGTTTGTTTGTACTAATTTGGTTGATTTTTATATCAAAAGTGGAGGGGAGGATGGCCTAAGGAATGCTAGGTTAGTGTTTGATGAAATGCATGACAGAAATGTTGTCACGTGGAATTCTTGGCTTTCGGGTTGTTTTAGGTATGGAGATGTCAATGCAGCACTAGAAGTGTTTGAGGCGATGCCAGAGAGGAATGTAGTTTCTTGGACTACAATGATTGCTGGATGTGCGCGTTGCGGAAGGTGTAAGCAAGCTTTGGCGTTGTTTCTTGAGATGCAGAGAGATGAAATGAAGTTCGATCAGGTGACTTTGTTGGCAGTGCTGTCAGCATGTGCCGAGTTGGGTGATCTGAATCTGGGCAAGTGGATACATTTATATGTTATTGAGTCTTTAAGTCAAAGAGAGCAGCCGGTGCTGGTGTCACTGAACAATGCACTGATACATATGTATGCTAGCTGTGGTGAAATTGGGGCAGCATTTGGCGTGTTTAAAACAATGGAGCAGAGGACTACTGTTTCTTGGACAAGTATGATCACAGGTTTTGCAAAGCAGGGGTATGGAGATGAGGCACTTAGTGTCTTCCGGTGGATGGAAAGTATAGGAGACAATGACATAAGACCTGATGAAATAACATTCTTGGGTCTTTTATGTGCCTGCAGCCATGCTGGTTATGTCAATGAGGGGCGTCATTACTTTAAGAGCATGACTGAAACTTGGGGAATCGAGCCAAGGATAGAGCATTATGGATGCATGATAGATCTCTTGAGTCGTGCTGGGTTATTGGATGAAGCGGAAGGGCTTGTGAAATCTATGCCAATGAAGCCAAATGATGCAGTGTGGGGTGCCCTTCTTGGTGGATGCAGCATTTACAAAAATGTTGAGCTTGCTTCTGATGTAGCTCAGATATTGACCATGGAAGTTGACCCTGAACGAGCTGTTGGCTACTTTGTGCTGTTATCCAATGTGTATGCCACTGAAAAGAGGTGGCAAGATGTGATTACTGTGAGGAGGAAGATGGTTGAAATGAAAACAAAGAAGCCTCCAGGTCGAAGTTGGATTCAGATAGCTGGAATCATTCATGAATTTATGGTCGATGAAAGGTCTCAAAAGCATGCATCATTCATCTATGAGGTGCTCGGTAATATCACAACAGAAGCAAAGTTGCAGGGCTGCATGCCAGAAACTGTTGATGCTCTCCTGTGCATTGAAGATTAGGATGGCAAGAGGTAGCAGGATATGTGCTGGTCGTTAGATTGTGATTACCATTATGCAGAGCTTCTATCTGCTGACATCTTGCCTAGTATGGCAACCAAATGTCCTAAGCATGTCCTTACTCTTACTCTCTAGTCACATCTCTGGCACTAATTTTACCAGTTATCAGTTTTCTAATTCTCTTAATGGGGTTGAATATATAGAGGATGTAAATGTATTTGTTGGAATCTAATCTACAATCTTTATGCTTGTAGTTGAAATGTTCTTGGCTGCCTTTCTGGAACTACTACTTGACTACACCAATACTTCACACGGATAATTATATTACCCTCTGAGTCTATATCATGTCCTTCATTATGAACTTTACATATGCTTCTAGAGCTATTCGATTACGGTGTTTTCCTTTTTGGATAGTGCATGAAACACCACTTTTGGAAGGTGTCAAGGGACAAGGGCCACTAAGCCCCTTCACCATACACAGCCATATATAGTCATTTTCACAATTGCAAGTAGGCCAAAAACTATTTGTTTATTCTATTTGGATGACAAGTTCTTACAAGTAGAATACAATCATTGATCTTAATAATTGAACTACGTTGGAATAACTTATTATGCAATAAATTTGTCGAGGTTGAATGATTGGATCGTAACATAAGGCACCGTTTGATTGGCAAAACATTTCCATGGAAAATGTTTGGATGGCATTTTCCAACTTTGGTGTGTTTTATAAGGGTTTATTTTCCATGGAATAGAAATTCTTGAATTTCTTGGGAACTGCACATTTTTTGCTTTTGTGGGATATGGTGGGAATTGATTTTCCCGATTAGTGTTGACGTTTTTTCCTTCTTCTTCTTTTTTCTCTCTCTCTCTCTCATTTTTTTTTTTGACAATGGAAATAAATTTTAAGAATTATTGTAAAAAAATATTT